CCGAGCGGGGGACCACGGAGGCTGCGGGGGCCTCAGGAGCGGTGGCCGGCTGCTCTCCCTCCTCCTTTCCTTGGCTCGATGTTTCTGCTGTGTGTTGTCTCGATCTTTTTCTAACTCTCTCTTCCCTCCCGGCTCTCAGTGTCTCTGCTTTCACACCTCCCACTCCTCTCCACCCCAGGAACCAGGCCCGCCTCGACCTCCCCTCCCCAAGTCCTACGTCCCCCTGGAGTCTCCTCCGGCCGTCCCTCCGCTCCCCGGCGAGAGCCGTCTCTGGCCGTACCCCACGTCCCCTTCCTGGCAGCAAGGCGCCGAGGCAAAGAGGGGACAGGTACCGAAACCTCTCCAGAGCAGCCCTGCAGGAGTGTTCCCATCCTTTTCCTCCCCGAAACATCACCTGGGGCTGAGATGAGATGGGCGATGGGGCTGCCCACCCTCTGCCCTGCTGGGGGACAGGGACAGCGTGGAGGTGGCACTTGGTCAGGGGACACCATCACATGGCTGGTACCTGCCCTCTCCAAGGGGAAAAATGGGCAATGTCCCCTCCAGCAGCCTCGCCATGGCCCTCCTGTCCCCACCAGGTCCCCTGCACCCACTGTGGTCACTCGGGGCAGGGTGCAGGGTGTGGCTCTTCCTGGGCAGCCCCCAAAGCTGCTGCAGCCCCCCTGGTGTCAGCCCCTCTGCTTTCCTCTGCCCTCACCTCTCTCACTGTCCTTCCGCCGCGCCGCTCCCCGCCATGCAGTCCTGGCAAGCTCTGCCCATGGGGGTGACCCCCCCCAATTCTGCCCACCCAGGGCAAACCCAGATTTGGGAATTCCTGGTGATGCCTCAGCCGTCCTCCTGCCGGGGGAAGGGGCCAGGTTTGGACATGAGGAGCCACGAGCATCCTTGCAGCCGGGGGGTCAGGATGCATGTGGGGGCTGGCACCCCACTGCAGCGGCCGTGCAGGGGCAGGGGGGGTACTGAGAGTGCAGGTGGCATCTCCAGCAGCTGTGCAGCAGCAGGGTAGCGCAGTCGTGGCTGATCCACAGGGTGTCAGGGGTGTCGGGATGCGTGATCTCCATGAACAGCACAGTTGAGGGGGGCACTCTGGGCTCCTCAGCTTGTTGCTGTTCCCCCCCCATTGCACCAGCGCCCAGCCCAGGGGATGCAGGAGGGGAAGGACCCCAAAAATGGCCCTTTGCTCGCTCTTGGCTGCTGCACGGTGTCTGCCCCATGGGACCCTGTCCCCTCCCATGGGCACAGGGTCTTGCTGGAGCTCAGCAGAGAGCTGGGGTGTCCCTGTCCTGGAGCTGCCGGGTGCCACCTTGGGATGGTCACCCTGCAGGAAGCTTTTCCCATGCAGGAGCCTGTCCTATGGGGACAGTGACTGGTGCCCAGCCCCAATGGGCTGGGACAGAGCTGGGACAAGAGCTGCAGAGCCCTGCCAGCCCCTCTCCCCACGTTTGGGGTGTGCTGGTACCTCCTGTCTAGTGTCCGTGTGCCTGTCCCCTCCTGGGAGCGTGTCTGCAGGATGTGTCACCCCATGACTGCACACAGCAGCGGGTCTGTCCCCCGGCAGATGCTCTCAGGGTCTCACTGGGGACTCGCTTTCCCCTGCAGCCCAAGCCGAGCTTCGAGCAGAGCAAGAAAGAGTCGCAGCGACCAGCCCCCCCTGCTGAGGGGGTCCCGCAGACCCGGCAGGAGCAGGGGGCGGAGAAGGGCGGAGCGGGGTACGGCACCGGGGCCCGGGGGGTCCCCAAGCTTGCCAGGAGCACCCGGTATCTTGCTGGGACCCTGCCCTTGGTCCCTGGAGGGGTTCAGCCTGGTTTTTCATTGTTTTCCACAGTGGGCATCGTTCCCCCCAGGACCAAGTCTCCGGCAGAGGAGGAGGCGATGCCTGTGGCTGGTGTGCCAAGGAGGAGCGCCGGCGGCATGGCCAACGGGCTCAGCTCCCGGGTAGGGCTTGTGTCGAGGGGCTGGGGGTTGTGGGGTGGGATAGTAAAACGGGGGCTGTGTCACAGCCTGCAGGGATGGGGCAGCACAGAGGGGAGCCTGTCCCTGTGTGGCTCCACATCTCAGCATCCAGCTCCTTGGGACCCCCCCCAGGCTGTTTCAGCACCTTCCCCCCAGCCCTGTTCTGGGGTGTTGCGCTGGGTGGATGGGGCCGGACCCTGCTGCAGGGAAGGGTCCGTGACCGTGGGACTGGGCTCTCCCCAGGAGAGACCAAAAAGTGCCGTGTTCGCCACCGAGATGAAGGTGAAGATGAGCGTGGAGGAGCAGATCGACCGGAT